TGTGTGTCATATCTTGAGATTCTACAAAGTGCTACAAGTTATATACTGGAGAGGCAGGAAAAACAGACTAGGCATCACTTATGACCACTGGTTGGTGGTTGTGGAGAGGAACACATACTAGGGGAGGTGTTCGTTACTAGTGGCAGGTGGTCAGCCAGGTAAGATCAAGGGTGTAGGGTAATCCAACTATAAACCAGGTAGTCTGCAAAGATATGTGTGGGGAAGGGGAGGGGATGACTCAACAACTAGGAGTTGAGTCATCACATATCTAAAGCATGTGACACTTGGAAGCTGTCACATGGTTGGTCACATGATTCATAGTTGGTCTACTGACAAGTGGCAGGACTGACACTGGTAGTCCTCTTATCAGGCAGGTCTCAATGGCAGGTGAAGGAGGCAATAAGACAGCACAGATGAACAGCTCTTAAATATGGACCTTGTTACTAAGCAATTAGCACAAAAGAAACTCAGAAACAGGGGCAAAGGCAGAAATTTAGTTGTAAGAATTATGTTATGAAGCAAGGAGGATAGAACCCAAGAATAAAGCAGAATAAGAATCAGGAAGCTTTGATTCCAGAATTTAACCATTCAATAAATATTTATCAACTACCGTCACAGTGGATATTGGAAAAGAGTTTAAATGTAAGTACAGTTCAGGGCTAAATCCAGATTCAGACAAGATTCAGAAGAGTCCAAAGGAAGGGATAGTCAGCTGTAGCACCTGCAAATGTTATGCAAGGCTACATAGAGGAAATGGTGCTCAGGCAGGTTCTTAAAGAACAGGTAAGCCCTGGCATGTGGAGAGGGTACTTCAGACAGATAGCATAGCAAAGGTGCTGAAGATCGGTGCCTAAAGAACTATAAGACATTCATGTGCATTGCATTGGTAGCAAGGGTGGCTATGAGTATGCCCATCAGACCATGTAGATGGGTTTGGATAAGCATCTCTGGCATCTGACGGGAAGTTTCCTTGATATTCAAGCAGAGCTGGCCTCAAGTACCAAATTTAGATGAGGTAGAGTGGAATGCAAGACCTAAGATATATTGAGCTTCTGCACCTATCTCCTCTCCTTTCTCTCAAACACCACCCTAATTCAACCCATCAAAACTTCTTAAGTTTATTTAAACCAATGTAGTCCTCTAATCAGTTTTCTCAATTAGACTCCTCCATTCCTTTCGATCTACCCTACATATTGTTGCCTTTTTAATCTCCCTAATGCACAATTTTGAACTTCCTATTCTCATGAAAAAAAATTCTTTCAGTGTCTCCCTATTGCTGGAAGAATCAAGATTCCTATTTGTATTTTATGTTTGAAGGACTACTGTAGGGCTCAATTAAATATTTCACAATTATTTCACACTATAAAATGATACAAAAATTTCTACAACACAAAGGTGTCATTGACAAAGGAGATGATGAATGGGAGGTAGAGAGAAGTACAATAGGTAGAGCAGAAACCACAGGGTTCCTAGCCCTCATCTTCCTCTGCTTTCCCATCCCTTAACATTTTTTTTTCTCCCTCACTATTTGGAAGAAGGAACACAGGACCAAAGAGCCACACCTGATGCAATGACATCTTTGTACTACCTTGTTTTTTTGGTTTGTTTTTGTTTGTTTGATGACTTGGATCTTACACTTTCCAAATTTAATGAGTACCTATCAGTGTGATTTTCTAGTGTTGAAATTATTTTATTTTCTTCTGTATGCCTGTGGAATAAAATTTATTTTGCCTATAAACTTCACTGGCACATAAAAATAGATTTAGAAAAGTATTGTGATAAAATGAAGTAAATAAAAGAGATTAACCACTGTTTTTATGTCAACATTTAAAATCTTGAGGCTGTAAGTCCAAAATCATAAGGAATTACTAATTCCAAAATCTTCACTTTTGTTTGAATGTTGAATATCCTATATACAAACAGTAACTCCAATAATGCATGATTATAGAAAGTCAAAAGTTACATTTCTAAAAGGGATTAGTCTAAATCGAGAAGCAATTTTTGTGATAATAAAAATCAAAAGGAAAGTAAACAGGCAAGATCAACCTACCCTCTAATTTATGTTTTACAAATGGTTCTTGTGAGTTCCCAAAAATAACACTGCCTCACTTCATAGTTACTACCTTGTTCATAAACACAAATCCCCTTCCATCACAGTGTAATCTGAGGATATGGGCTCAATTTTAGATAATTCTTTTTTTTTTTAATATTTTTATTTATTTCTAGGAGAGAGAGAGACAGCATGAGCAGGGGAGGGTCAGAGAGAGAGGGAGTCACAGACTGAAACAGGCTCCAGGCTCTGAGCTGGCAGTCAGCACAGAGCCCGATGCGGGGCTCGAACCTGCGAACCGCGAGATCACGACCTAAGCGAAAGTCGGATGCTTAACCGACTAAGCCACCCAGGTGCCCCAATTTTAGATAATTCTGATAGCAATGAAAACAGTTCACACATAGGAAAAGACCCTTATTTTTTTTTTAAATTTTCAATGCTTTTATTTATTTCTGAGAGAGAGAGAGACAGCGTGAGCAGGGGAGGGTCAGAGAGAGAGGGAGACACAGCACCTGAAACAGGCTCCAGGCTCTGAGTTGTCAGCCCAGAGCCCGACGCGGGGCTTGAACCCACGACTGTGAGATCATGATCTGAGCCGAAGTCGGACGCTTAACCGACTGAGCCACCCAGGTGCCCCAGGAAAAGACCCTTACATGTGACATCACTTGCAAAGGACATAAATGACCTCTGTCTATAATAGTTTGCTTTTAAATTCTATTTAAAATAGATTCATATGACTGAAGAGACTATCATTTGTATATTATATATTATATAACTGTATGTTATATTCAGAGAAATAAACTCCCCCAACCACTTATCTATCCATGAAGCTAAAAGCTCTAAAAAAACACCACTGGCCCCAAACCTGAGATTTTATTACAAATGACACCAGGAACTTGGCAGAGGAAGGAAGCAAGGTCAGGCTGTTTGATCAGGGATGACAGAGCCAATTTTTATGGCTTCCACTAGATAGACCTGTTTCCAAAAGCAGCGGATCACAACTTTGCTCTCTGCCACATCAGGAAGAGCTCAAGCAGCACAGCTTAGCCTGCCTTAAACGTGCTTGGTCACAACACCAGGGGCTCTTTTCTAGAAGACTGGCACATTAGTTAAGATGCTCTGGGCTGTAAGGAACAGGAGAACCCACTAAAAGCGGCTGGAACAAAAGAACATTTATCATTTCACAGAACAAGTCATCAGGAAGTAAGGGCAGTTCCACAATTGAAGCAAGAACTCCACGATGTCATTGAGGACCGAGGTTCTATAATCTTCCTGTTCTCCCTACTTAGACTTTTACTCCAACATGTAGAAGTAAGAGATTTTCCATGCATCTCTTTTTATCTCAGAGAAAGTCCTTTACCAGAAGCCTCCTGTTGAATGGCTCACAACTGATCTGGGTACATGCTCAAGCCCTAGCTATAAAGCTAAAAAGCAATACTGGTCATCTCCTTGTCTTTGATTCTTGCCTGTCAAAGTTGGACAGCAAGATAGAAATGGATGCTGGGCAGGCAACAGGAGCAGCTATAGGATGCAATTGGGAGGACAGCCACAGTGTCACATGTAGAAAGTTACCTGCTTTTAACCATAAACATTTAAAGTATGGTCCTTCGTACTTACAAATAGCATCCCTTATCAACATGCATTGCTATGTTTGCACATTAGGTAATAAATAAAAGACGCATTGCCACATTCCAGATGATGATGATGATGATGATGATGATGATGATGATGATGATAAATGCATAACATACTGGTATTTGCAAAGTATATGTCTAAGCAATGGTCAATAAAACTGGGCATTTCTGAATGGTTGATTCTTCCCCTTAGAGATCAATTAATTTCTTCAGATATGTAAACTCCATGAATCAATGTCCTAATCTATACAAATAGGTATAGCATGAATAACACTTGCAGAAGGCATATATATATTCAAAATGGATTATTTTCTGAGAATTATTTATAAACTTGGATAAGGAAGGATTGATTATCTGAATTACTGGACCTCTTCCCAAGGGCAGAGTTTGCCTCTGAGTGCTGCTGTCGGAGGGCCCCGGTTGGTCTTTGGGAAAAGGGTATGATAATCACCACACCGTTTCACTGGGTTCTGTCAATATTTGTTAGATTTTCCAAAGCAACAGGACTGCCTATTAACAGCTCAACTGCACAAAAATAAAATCAACATTTTCAACAAGAGTACTGTACTGGCACCCATAACCCACTTTTAATATGAAAGATAGGTTCATAAAAGAAGAGCATTCATTAGTCTGCTATAGGAATGTTGAAACTATGGTGCATTATTTTATTCACTCAATAACTAGACCCATACAAGTACATGGCCATTAGGACATATGACTTGACGGAACCAAAAAACTTCCTCTTCACGCCCCAGGCTTACATCTTATCCCTTCTTACTTACAATTATTAATCCCTCTTTATAGCTGTTTAAAATTATAAGTGACACTTCCTCATAAGCATAGAAATGGTAAAGAGAGCATGGAAAAGATGAACTGTAGAAAATGATTAAAATGCAAATCTTCCTTGAGAAAATCATGAGTATCTACAGTTTTTCTACTACCACAGTAGACAAAAACAAGTCTTCGAGTGAATGAAACTAGGTTGGGGGAGTAACGAGGAGAGAGAGGGAAGTGGTAGAAAGATGGGGCCTTCTTCAAGTATGGAGCTGGGACCAAGAGCATGAGCACAAGCCTGGGAGCCTGGTAGACTTGCAGAAGATTGGGCTCCACCCTAGACCCACTGAATCAAGACTTACATTGTAACAAGACCCTCAGGCAATTCCTGCACAGGTTTCAATCTCTGAAGCAAGGCTCTAGGACCTGAGGCAGTATCTCCAAAGAACAAAGCCTGGTATTGTGCATGTACTGGGAGCCCTGGCTTCTGGGGACTATAAAAGCTGTAAGCGAGGGAAAGGTCAGATGAATGTGACAGGCAAGCCCAAGTGAGGAAAGAAGTTACCAAGAGGGTGACAGTGCCATTCATGGTGATTGCTAGCTGTAATTAATTACACACTGACGATGGCAGGCACTATGGTAAGGCTTTTCATGCATTGTTTCTGATCCTCGTAATCCCACAATGTGGATAGCATAAGGAAATCTAAACTCAGGGAGGTTAGGTAACTTGTCTAGGCTCTATAGCCAACAACTGATGAAATCTGGATTGACTCCTGGGCTTTGAAATTAGAGAAATCCAAGTTTAAATCCTCTTGTCTCATAACACATGCATAACTTGGTCAAGTAAGTTTCCTCTCTGTGCTTCTTCTCCTCTAGAAAATCGGGGTAAGAAGACTTATTTAGCGTCTAGTATATTGTGAGGTTGAAATATATATATGACTAGAGGTGCTTATCTTTGCATAATAGGTAATATGTGCACTAAAGAGTAGTAGTAGATACTATTATTACTATTTCCACTAAGAAAGAGGTCTCCAAAACCAAAGCAACTTCTTCACAATTGTGTCCACATTAGCCCTACTTCATTCAGCACAGTGGAAGACTGTGCAGTGGGAAGCGCAAAAATGTGTATGATAGGGTCCTGGCCCTCATTCAGCTTTAATTTCTATGATGGATCTTCATTCACTAAGAAAACCAGTCAATGGTTCTTGAAACAAAAATGTATTAAGTGTAGGGGGCCTGAGTGGCTTAGTCGTTAAGCATATGACTTTGGGGTTCAGGTCATGGTCTCATAGTTTGTGAGCTCCAGCTCCACATCGGGTAAAACACAAGCCCCGGGTGAGCCCTGCTTCTCTCTCTCTCTCCCTTTCTCTCTCCCTCTCTCTCCCCACCCCCAACCTTCCACCTTGCTCACTTGCGTTCTCTCCCTCAAAAAAAAAAAAAAAAAAGCGTTGTCTACCATGTGCAAATAACAAAACCTGAAATGCAAAGCCCACTGAGGGTCCCTCGCCCCAAACAGGTGTTGGCAGCAATACAATAAATGCCCGAGACATGTGTCCTGTGCATGCGGCATATCTTGGTCACTGAAAAGGTGCCAGGTGCTCTAGTGGAGTCACAGAAGACCTCAGAGAGTTGCTGCTCCCTCCCTCATGTCATCTACAATGATTTATTTATCATGCTATAGGATAATTTTTAAAAGTTTATACAGCACTCATTCAACTACATAAAGAATATGTCAAAGATTGTATTTAACTCATTAACTGATGAAGGAACCAGTGAGATACTAAACCTGGTTCAGATGAGAATTAGAGGAGCAAGTATTTATAGGCAACTTAATAAAGGAATGTTAGGATAAGATTGCTTAGTTATATACAACACTGTAATGTGCTATTGGATAGCAAACTGTAACCTTAGGAATTATCTTTTTTTACTGGATGGAAAGGATCGCATTTCCACGAGTGCGATAAAAGAATTTCCTGGTTTCCCAGCAGTACCGCTTTCTGAAGAGCTGGAAGGAAAGAGTTGGTTTTAATTATTTCATATTCTTTGGACCTTAACAGTATTTTTTTACATCCAATAAAATGTGAGGTTAGAGAAATTCAGAATTATCTGCGGTCATATTTCTGAGTATATAGCACTAAGTCTTAGGGTGTTGATGACATTTACTGGAGGAAATGAACTCTCTCAGAAACAACAAGGCGTGGGAGGGGGAGGTGGCCTGGGAGTAGTAACAAACTGAATCTGTTCAAGCTCTACTATTAAATGTCTGGCGACCCCCAAGGTCATTTCCCCTCTCTGAGCTTCAACTTCCTCACCTGAGAACTTCACCTCACCTTCAACTTTCTCACCTGAGAGTGAGGAAGTGGACTAAATGACCTCTAAGAGAAATAGGTTTAAAACCTCAGGGAGCATCAGTGTCACTGGAGGAAGCTTGGTAAAAAAAAAATAATGTAAAAATCCAGATTCCCAGAGCCCACACCCAGAGATCCTGGATCAAAGTCCAAAACTTCCTCAGATGGGTGCCAGGACCTTGCCGTTGTCAGTGTGGTTTTGTTTTCAGTACCCCCAGGGATGCCCATGCAAGCACAGACCACGCTTCTAGATGTTGTGCGTGGAGGTCTCTTCCTGTTTAGCTGCTCACCACCCAGTATCCCCCGTGTGCTGTGCTCAGGGCCTGAAGACTGGGCTAAGCCTCCTGCCGGTGCTCTTGTCACAAAATGCTCCCGAATATCCATGGGGGTTTCCTTTGTTACCTATTTCCTTTCAGAAGACTGTGCAGATTAATAAACTGGCATGGGTACCGCATTTAATAGCTCCTGAAAATAATGTTATTGCAGTGGACATTTCTGGAAGGTTTTTAGGTTGTATATTGTTGAGCTCCAACTTACTATTTTATCTACTTAAGACTTCTGAGTGGTCAATTGGTATATGCATTGTTACAATGTACTATTTTCTCAGAGAATATCATGGAAAGGTTTTTTTTTTTTTTTTTTTTTTTTACACCTAATGCAACTAAGCATTTATAATTTTCTGAGAGCTAAAATCATAAACTATCTTGAGTGGGTTTGCCTTTCATCTTTGGTTATATTTTTAAATTGGTTCTTCTAATATAGCCATTCGAGTCATTTAAGTGTGTATTACCAACATATAAGCATTAGTATTATACCCAGATAAGCTTATATTTGTGCCCTATAATAAAACAACTTTATTCATGTCATTCTTTGTTTCTATAAGAACCTAACAATGATTTTCAGGAGATTTAACACAAGTAGAAATAAGATCTAAATTGACCAAGAAATCAAGGAAACTCAGGTTTTGTACACCAAGAACTTTTTTTTTTTAAGATCAAAGAAAAGAGTAGAAAATTAATATCCCCTTCTGTTAGCAGGCACATGTACACACACAATCAGTACTCTAATTAAGAGGGAAAAAAAATAAGCTAATGGTGAAAACTTGACTGATGTTTAAAAGTTACAAAAGCTTATTATTTTTCAAAGCAGAATTTGGACTTTCTTTTGTAGTCTGATTAGCACTTTATGTTATGGCTAAAACACATGAGTACTTGGAAAGCCAAAATAATAGAACACATAAACTAGTTTTTCATCTCCTAGGGAGGACCCAATCTTCCTAGGGTGAGGTAGATAGCAAATGAACAGATATTCTATGCTAAAATCTGAGTTAAGATTACCTGACCATCTTCCATCCACCCTAGCTGGTATTTCATCCAGCTCCATCATTGCTTTGAGGAAACTTTCCCATCCTCCATATCTCAAGGACATCTTTATCTGACTGTCACAAAACTCCAATAGTGGACAGATAAAGTTCTTCAAATAGAGCCCTTACCTCACCCAGAAGGCCTGTCTCAACCCTTTTCTTCCCGATAACACCAATCTTTCACTTATTTGGAATTCTCTTTCACACCTGCCCTACACTGACCTTCTCCTCTTACACCTCTGCATGCGTAGGATCTATGGGTAAAAGAAGGAAAGCTTTTGTTACCCATCTCCCCTTGTTCTCCTTATTGGAAAAGAGTCTCTTGAGTGAACTGAGGGAAATGCTTTTTGGTCCAGAAACATTCAACAATTTATCTAAGAGCTTCATGGTAACTTTCAAAGTAAATTTTGTGTCCAAGTACAACAAATACAAAAAAGGACACAAATCTTAAGAGTGTAAAGAGAACACAGTGCGTAATCAGCACCAGATCAAGAAATAGAACATAACCACCACTCTAGAATCATTCCCGCTGTCCACTTTAGTCACTAACTGAAAGAAAATGACCCTCCTAACTTCTAACCCCATCTATTAGTTTTGCTTGTTTTTGAAATTTATATAAATGAATTCTCATACTATATACTCTTCTCTGTCTTCTTTAGCTGGACATTATGTTTTTGAGATTCATTCATGTTGTTTGTGTGGCAATTGTTTGTTTATTTGTGTTGCTATGTGTCATGCCATTTTATTTTATTTTATTTTTTAAATGTTTTATTTTTTTCTGAGAGAGAGAGAGACAGCGTGAGCAGGGGAGGGTCAGAGAGAGAGGGAAACACAGAATCTGAAGCAGGCTCCAGGCTCTGACCTGTCAGCACAGAGCCTGACATGGGGCTCGAACCCACAAACCATGAGATCATGACCTGAGCCGAAGTCAGATGCTTAACCGACTGAGCCACCCAGGTGCCCCGTGTCATGCCATTTTATAAATGTACCACAATGTATTTATTCAGTCTATTCTGGATGAGCATGTGGTTTATTTCTAATTTGGAGCTATTATGAATTGTGCACGGTGAACAATCTTGTACATATCCTTTTGGTGAACATACATACACACTTCGTGTATATATAGATGGTGTATCACAAGTGGAATTGCTGGACCAGCTTTAATAGATACTGCCTAATGGCTTTCCATAATAGTTATACAAGTTTACACTGTTACCACCAATTACTTCAAAACTGCATTTGAATGTATAGTATGTATCATTATGTTTTTAATTTGCATTTCCCTGAGGTTCAATATAGTTGAGCATCTTTCTATATATTTGTGGCAATTTAGGCAATTCACCTTTACGAGGTGTCTGTATGAGTCTTTGGCCCATTTTCTATCAGGATGCCTGCATTTTTCTCTTTCTTTTTTAATGTTTATTTATGTATTTTGAGAGAGAGAGAGAGAGAGAGAGTAGGGTAGGGGCAGAGAGAGGGAGAGACAGGATTCCAAGCAGGCTCCACACTGTCAGGGCTCAGTTTCACAGACTGTAAGATCACCATGTGAGCCTAACTTGAGGGTTGTAAGCTTAAACGTACTGAGCCACCCAAGCACCCCTTCCTGCATTTTTCTTAAGGAATTCTTATATTCTTGGAATTAATCCCACTTGGTTTTGTTGAACTATCCATTTGTATATTACTAGATTTGATTTACTATTTTGTTTAGAATTTTTGCTTTTAAATGCATGAAAGTGATTGGCTTGTCATTTTGTATTCACATAAACTCCTTTTCAGGTCTTAATAACAAGTTTATACTTGCTTCATGAAGCAAGTTGGGAAATTCTCCCTTTTTATCCTATATTCTGGAAGTATGTATATAAGGTTGGTAGCATTTCTTTTTATTTTTTTAATGTTTATTGAATTATTTTGAGAGGGATAGCAAGAGCAAGGGAGGGGGAGAAAAAGAGGGAGAGAGAAAATCCCAAGCAGGCTCTGTGCTATCAGAGCAGACCTGGACACAGGGCTCGATCCCACGAAACATGAGATCATTATCTGAGCTGAAATCGAATTGGATGCTTAATCAACTGAGCCACCAAGGTGCCCTGCTATTTTTTTTTTAATATTTACAATAATTCATCAGTGGATTGACATATGCTTAGCTTTCTTTGTGGAAAGGCTTTTAGTAACAGCTTTGATTCTTTAATGAAATTAAAACATCCTTAATAACAGATTTAATTGCTAAATGTTTTGAGCATTTGTCAATTTTCTCTAAATCATCAATTTATTGACAGAAAATCATATGCCAATTTTATATAAAACTATCCTACTTTTATTACTTTAGTGTCTCAATGATCTGTAGTCATGCCTGCTTTTCATTCCTAATATTTGCAATTTGTATCTCTTCTTTATCAAGAACAGCCTTCCTAAACTGTTATCAATTTTAACATTCCTTTCAAATAACCGAACTTTAGCTTTGTTGAAATTGTTTTCTATTGTAAATTTGTTTTCTATTCCAATGATCACTTGTTTTATCTTTCTTATTTTCTTTCTTCTATTTTATTCGTGTCTGCTGTTCTTTTTCTAGTGTCTTGAAACAAGAGCTTAAATCATTCCTTTTCTGCCATTTTTTCTGATACAGGTCTTCAATTACTTTAAGTACATCACACATGTTTTGATAAATTGTTTTGATTTTCCTTATCATTATCTTCTAATTGTATGTGTGACTTGACTTAAAAATACAATGTTTAGGGGCGCCTGGGTGGCTTAGTCGGTTAAGCGTCCGACTTTCGCTTAGGTCATGATCTCGTGGTTCGTGGGTTCGGGCCCTGCATCAGGCTCTGTGCTGACTGCCAGCTCAGAGCCTGGAGCCTGTTTCAGTCTGTGACTCCCTCTCTCTCTGACCCTCCCCTGCTCACTCTGTCTCTCTCTCTCCTAGAAATAAATAAAACATTAAAAAAAAATTAAAAAAAAATACAATGTTTAATTTTTTTCAGTGGGAATTTTCTAGTTAATTGATTTCTACCTTAATTTCACCATGGTCAGAAAATAAATTCTAAATGACTGCGTCTTTAAATTTTATTAAACCTTGCTTAATATTGCAGCACAAAAAACTTGGCAAGTATTGCATTTGCACTTGAAAAAATGAGTATTCTGACATTGTTTGGAACATTGTTCTATAAATATGAATTAGCTCAAGTTCTTTAATTTTATTATTCAGAACTTTTATAACCTTACTGATTATTTCACCTATCCAATCACCTATTAAGAAAGGTGAGTGAAAGTTTACTGTTATGATTGTAGGTTTATTTGTTTCTTTATTTACTTATATCAATTTTTTGCTTTATATTGCATGGATACAGATTTAGAATTATAATATTCTCCTCATGCATTTAACCTATTTTCAATATAAATTATCTCTTTCAATGTTTAAACACTTATTACCTTAAAGTGTAGTTTGTCTGAAATTTGTATCTTTCTTTTGGTGTTACATATGGCATATCTCTTTCCATTCTTTTAATTATAGCTTTTCTGTGTCCTTACTGTTAAGGTATGTCTTTTTACTTAAAATATTGTGAGTTTTGCTTTTATAACATGTCTGAAATTCTCAAATGTTTTGTGATAGTATTTAGTCCATTTTTATTTAGTGTAATTATAATAAATTGGGGTTTATAGTTACATTTTTATTTTTCTATGTACCCAACTTGTTTTAACTTCCTTTTTCTCTTCTTTATTATCTCCTTTTTAATTAAGCAAATCTATTTGTTGTTATTTCATTTTTCTTTATGGCATCTTGTATTTATACTTTCTTTTAATAGTCTTTCAGTGATTATCCTAAAGATTACAACATGCATCACTGACTTATCACAATGAGATCAAATTTTTTCTCTTATGACTTCCTTGAAAATGCTACACCTTAGAACACATTAACTCCATATAGTTGCATTATTATGGCATGCATTTTATTTTTTCTATATATTATAAACCCAGCATATATCACTATTAGTGGTTTTCCACAGTCAAGATTATTTATATTTTACGTTTTCTGGTGTTCTTTGTTCCTCTTTACATTTCTGTTTTTTCATCTAGAGTGATTTTTCTTCTAAAGTTTAGTTAAAAATTTTCACTTATAAAATCTCCCTGTGGTTTCTTTTTTTAGGTGGAGATCTGCTACCAAAATATTCTCTTCATTTGTGTTTCCTGAAAAATACATTTATTTTAGCCTATTTTTGAAGAAGGTGTTTGCTAAGCATAGAATCCTAGGTTGACAGATACATTTTTTTTTTCTATGACTTTAAAGATATCATTGTTTTCTTCTGGCCTCCATCATTTCTGTGAAAACCCAGGTATAATTCTTTTTGTTATTTATTTAAAGATAATGAACCTATTTTTAGTATTTAAAATTTTTTCTTGTCATCTTTGGTTTTCAGCAGTTTTTACTGTGATGTGCCATGGTTTGTTTTTCTTTTATTTATCCTGTTTGGGTTTTAGGCACTTCTTTAATCTGTAGGTTTATCAGTTTAGGAAAATTTTTGACCAGTTTATCTTCAAATATTGCTTATACTCTCACCTTTCTTTATGTATTCAATTGACATATATGATAGAGTTTTTTACTGTCTTCCATCTGTTCCTCATGCTCTTTTTTATATTTTTCATTTTTATTTTTCTCTGTAGTGCAGTTTAGATGTTTTTCTATTGTGAAAACCCATCTATGGAGCTCATTGTTTTTCAGTTCTGGAATTTCCATGTATTTCTTTTTTTTTTAAATAGATTCACACCCTTTGGTAAAAGTTTTTATCTTGTTTTCTTTTTTCTGTACCTTTTCTCTATTTTCTTCAGCATCAATATATTCATCGTCTGTAGGTCTGTTTCTCTTATCTTTTTTCCCTCTTATCTGTGGTCATATGATTCCATGTCTAGCACACCCAGAGTTTTTTTTTTATGGAATGATAGAATGAAGAGAGAGAGAGAGAGAGAGAGGGAGAGAGAGAGATATGGATATAGATATGGTAGTAGAGGCTCCATATAATGTTAATTACATCCAGAGAGTGTTAACTTTACTCCATCAGGCAGATAGGGTGAGAACCCATGTACTTAATTCAGTGAAGGTGTCAACTGACTCAGGCTGATGGCAATTTTGCGATGGTTCAGTCTACCTCTGGTTTATTTCAGTTCCTAAGACATAGTTCTTTTCTGGATGGATCCTGAACTCTAATCCTGATGTCTTAGTATGGCAAGACTGCTAAGGACTTTTCTCTGCTTTTTGGAGTCTTTCTGATTAGCTTTGTAGCCTTCTGAGCCACAGCTTTATATTTTTAGCAAATGTATCAAGAAGATATCCAGCTTACACCAGTCTCAGTTTTCCACCCAATTCTTTTCTTAACAACTCCACTTCCCTCCTGAAAAAGACTCCTCATGGTTTTTCCATCCATCACTCCATATGGGAGGCAAATTCCAGATTCTCATCCTTTCTCCATTCCCATAATCAACAAATGCCCCTAGGTAAGAAATGGATGCAGACTCTTGATTGGAATCTCTGAGATTTTCCCCTTTTTTGAATACCCCTTCCTTCCCCAGTCCTGGATTGTTTCAGCAGCTCTCTTATCCTTTGAAACTAATTGTTTTGTTTTGTTTTATCTGGTAGTTCTAGTTGTTTCTGGCTATATAGTGGCCAGTTGCAAACTACTTTATCATAACCAGGAACAAAGATCCATACTGTTTTTAAAACAGGTTCTGAGGAGCCCTTGCTATGAAACAAAAGGGAGCTACTGGAAGATACACCCCCTGGGAGTTGCCTTAGTGGTGTTTTACCTCACTGTATCCAAGAGTGAGAATAAGTGGTTGTAACCATAACTCTTCAACAGCTGGCTGAATAAACACAGGTCAGCCATTCAACTTTCTCCACTTAATAAATGATGACATTATCTGCTCTTCCTCCTCGATGGCGTTGTCAGGAGAAAAGTATTTAAGTGTTTAAGAAAGGTATATAGAATGGAAATTATGAGCATGGTCAATTAGTTCTACATGATCAAATATTTGTTACTTTAGCTATTCATTGGATGAATATTTTTCTTCCTCAATTAGACTCGAAACACTCTAAGAACAAGGGTCTGTGTTTTCTACTTCCATTTTTCCCCTGCAGTTTCAACTTTTGTGTAATTCACAAAATAGACATTGTTTAAGTGTGTTACTGAAAAAAAATGTCAACTTATCCTGTGTCTGTCCATATTAGAGAATTCTGAAGGGCAGGCTGTAAGACTCATTTTGATTTTTATCAATCTTTATTGATCAGGCTTAGAGATTCATACCGTTATATGCTGACAAATTTCGGGGACAATTTTTGACAACTAGCTTTTTCTGTTTCATCCTTTCATTTAATAAAATCTTAGGATAAGGAGTTTTCAATTATATAGAGCAGTAGATGACTTCACTTGCTGATAATCATTAGACCCAACTCTTTTTACAGTAATTACTAGTTTGTATAAAAATGGATCACCTCTCACAAAGATGGGGCACTTAAAATGAAATGCTATCTACCCATCCACTTCCCACCCCATTGACCCTTCCTTTCATCTAAAAGCAAGGGAATTGCTTATTTCAAGGTGGTCTTGAAAATCATCTAGGCATAATTAAAGTTTGCAATATCCTGTAAGTAAGCATTATATTCTAATATTTTCTGCCAAGACTTGAATTTGCTAGGCATGACACATTTATTGCTGGCAGTAGATGTACCAAAATGTACCAACACCAGGGAATTAATAAATACCACAGCCCTCCAATGGAGCAAGTTGCATGAATATTTAATAGGAAATGCATGATGAATTTCTTGCATGATTATGCAGAAAAACATTTGGGAATGGTTGCAGCTGTTACATGAACTAGCTAAGTCTCTTTTCTCCCATCTCTTTTGATCTTTATCAATCTCAATATTGTACTTTAACTTTAGCAGTAAGTATCTCCAATGATGAGTATTGCAGACACCTGTCAACACTTTAGGAAATGTGTGACTCTTCCCATATGTTATCTGTGTATGTGTGTACCTTACAACGTTCAGTGGTGCATTTTGAGGGAACAATTGAGAGGTTGTTGGAGGATACACAGGCCATCAGGGAAATCTGACTCAAAAGAGAAGGTGAAAGAAACTAAAAGAGTAACAACTCCACTCTTATGGGTTTGTCAAATTCTTTGTGACAACACCTTTACATCTCTACCTAAGTCCCATGAAAAATATTCCAGTCTAAATTTAGGGGAGCTTTTTAGGACCAATATTTGACATTTCTAGTATTCCCAAGATTTTTTCCCCTCATTTCATGGGTATTAGATATACTTAAAGTGCCCCAGAAGTATGGTTTCTTTCAGCAGGTAAAATATTCCTTTATTCTGAAGTCTTTGGTATATTCATAAGGTTGAAATATCATAGCACAAAATAATTGCTTTACAAATCAAGACCCATAAAACAGGAAATTGTTCATTGAATTGTGAGAGCAGTGAGGTCAGATCAACATATATTGAAAGCCAGTTGGTTTGGGTCCTCTGGAGCTTTAAAGGGCATCTCTCTGAAACAAAAATCATTCTTTGGTTCCATTCAAACATCCCAATTCACCACAATAGGTCTTCAACATCATGATCCCAGGAAATGGGGATTCCAGAGAAACCTCAGACTCTGGACTCTTCATAGACAGAACACAATGTTATCAAATCACTGCAGGGAGCTCAAACATGCTGTTTTTGACAATGGCCTGTGACCTTTTAATGAATTGCAGGTGACACAATGTCTCTGTCCCTTAAAGCAATTTAGTGCTTACTAGATGCCATTAAAGAGTTGGCATCCCATAAATTATCAAGTGATGATTATATTCTTGGCTTCAAAACAAGAAGAAAATCCTGCTTAACAATACATTTGTTCCCCCACTGTGTAGTGAGATGAGTTGCACCTCCTAAAGTGGTGACTTTATTTATTACCTTCACATTTTGGGATCTATTTTTGGTAAGAGCTCTTGGTCACCCTAGACAGACTCTGCAATCACAAAGATTAATGCATCTTTACTGAATCAAATGTTTCTGTGTGGAGAAAGTTTAGACAAAAGAGAAGATACAGTTAAAATCCAAAAGCTCCCCGATGGGCACCCCAGGTTTAAGAAAAAAATCATGAACAATATTAGAAAGCTACTTTCTTTTCCAGAAGTTTAAACATCATAATGAAGCAAGACAACTTATGTTCTGGTTTCCCTGAGAGTTTCCCACCAGAACCCAAATGTCTAATATATAGACATTCTTTGACAAGCACAGAAAAAGTTATCAGGTATCTCCCCCACTCTTGCAGATGGTCAATGCTCGACACCAACATCCTCACAAACATATATACGCAGAATGGCCCTGAGCCACACAAAAGACATTCCCATGTCAGTAGATGAATGTTTATCCTTAACCATCACAGAACCTTCACCAGCAATCCAGCTCCTTGGTGATACAACTCAAGGTAAACAGACTCACATCACCTCCTCCTTCCATTTTGCCTAAGTCTAACCCGTTCTTGGGCAAATGATTAAAAAGAAAAACTCATCACGTTGAATTAAGCTGAGTGCTCCATTTATGTGGGTCCATCTCTGGCACTTTTAGAATACTTGTATGCAGGCAGAAGTACGTATAATCAAGAAAAAGAAAGCTAAAGGGTTTTTGCTCTTCTACAAAGAGGTGGCTGACCATTAGAATATTATTTATATTGTATGAAGACTTTAGTTTCATAGAAGCAAAAAGTAGAATGGTGGTTGACAGGCATAGGACGGTTGGTGGAGGGGTGGAGGGGAAGTGCGAAGATGTTGGTCAAAGGGAACAAACATTCATCAGTTATACAAGATGAACACCTTCTGGGGATCTAACGTACAGAATGGTGACTATAGTTAAGACTACTGTATTGGAGGGGCACCTGGGTGGCTCAGTCAGTTAAGCATCCGACTTCAGCTCCGGTCATGATCTCGCGGTTTGTGGGTTGGAGCCCCGCGTCAGGCTCTGTGCTGACAGGTCAGAGCCTGGAGCCTGCTTCAGATTCTGTGTCTCCCTCTCTCTCTGCCCCTCCCCTATTCATGCTCTGTTTCTCTCTGTCTCAATAATAAATAAGCATCAAAAAATTAAAAAAAAAAAAAAGAATACTGTATTGGATACTTGATATTTGCTAAGAAGATAAATCTTAACTATTCTCACTACAAAAAGAAAAAAACTCTTCAGTTTATGATGATGACTTAGTATAAACTTCAATTAGAACATGATTGTGACAAAAGAAAAGAATTCTAGTTCTAATGCTCCCAAAAGGCCTTTTTCTTAACCAGTATTATCAATTATGGTCAATTAAAGTGGCCAAAACATTTATACTAACTCAGAAAAGAAAAAATGTTGTAAGGAAATGGGCTTTACTTCCTTTTGTATCTTTCAGGGTAGTACAATGGAACTCTTCACATGAAAGAAAAAGAAATAAATTTCTTTTTAAGTGAATAATAATATTTAGAGCTAATCTTCAGTACTTTAAATTTTATGTTTGGAAACTGACTCACCCCAACTCAGACTTGCTCTGAAAGAGTCCGGTTCAAGCCACCCATTGGGAAGGAACCAAAGCACAGCCACCGGCTTCCTGTTGCCTGGATCTTTTATTACTTTGGCTCATTAAAACTCCTTGTTTGTATTTGCATTTTACTCTTGGGCAACTTTATAACACAGAATAGTGATAAGCCTGCAGACTGCTCCTACTCATTATGTTTAATCATAACCACAATAAGGGAGATCATCATATCATGCCTCTATCTCAAATACACTGCTAGGATTTTAAAATAGAATTGGTACCCTACAATAACCTTGGCACATGCCCTCTCTGTTTCTCCTTTTTTCAAGATGAGCTCTTGAAACATAAAATACAAGGCATACAATAAACTTGGAGAGGTCCCCATTTTTAATTAGAATGTATGATTAAAATGAGGAAAAAGCCCTACTTGAAAGCAAATGTGCATAGAGAGAGAGAGAAAGAGAATGGATGAATATCATTAAAAGGTTAGGTGATCTTCTGTGGCTGAGCCACACACCCCTGCTCTAAAACACCCATCTTACTGTGGGCCAAGAGGACCCCCATGTTGTTTCGGGTTGGTCTCCTGCATATTAAGGTTTACATTATAGTTTAACTGAGCCAATGCTTCAGTTTCTGGCATAAGTTACTCATTTTCTTGTGCTAATGAAAAACACACATCAGCTCCTTGAAATTCCCAAAAGCAGCATCAGTTTTGCCACTAACTGTAGCACTGTTGAGGCAGAGGAGGAGAAGGAGAGTGATTACAATAGCAATATTTGGGACAGGGCTCTTTGCCTCCCTGAGTGGTCCTCTAACTGAAAACATTTGGGACTCGCCCCTCCTGGCCTTGAGTTCTCATGAATTTTAAGAAATTGGAAGCCCCCAGGAGCACCAGAGCGTGTGGAAATAATGGAACTCTGGCCTAGGAGACACGAGCAAGAAAGTCTGGCTCAAACTTCAAGCCCCAGCAGAAGGGAATTTGAGACATAACCATTTGATCTCCTGTCTCAACCTGACAAGATATTCCTTTTCAGGGACAAATGCACTCATACTGTCTTCTCCAACAACTGATACCTTATGCATGAGAATATTCTAATGAATCTGACCAGCACAAATATAATAAACTGCTTTTCTATGAAACACAACTTTTCGAACAACCAGAGGACTTTGGGGTGCTGAAAATTCTCCCCAAATTTGGGGAGAATCACTAGAGCGTTTTTTCTCCCCCTGAAATCTACCTCAGGGCTTTCGAATCCTACTTACCAATGTATAAAAAATCAGTTTTGCTCAATAGAATTTGTTCAATGGATAAAAACAGAAATATCACAAAAGGGTTGAAGACCCCATTACACACAATACCTCAACTTGTGCATATTCAAAACAGACATGCTCTGCAGATATTTTACTAAAATTATTTGCTGCAAAGCAGGAGCCAGGCAGGAAGCCGATGCACAATGAATTGATTTCCAAGTCTTATTTGTGGCTGATTTGAGGTTAGAGAGCATTTCTGTGCTGGGTGGAGTGGTAAAATGAATGTTTATTGTTTAGGATTTAAAAGGCCCATTATCATGCAGACTCAGTAAGGTTCTGCCACACAAAATGGAGTACCAGGCCAGCAGGCAACTGATTCAAGTGACAAGAGGTGAGCGGCAACAGCCCTTCCATGTTAATAAAACATGTCCCAGCACTCAAAGGAACCCTAGCACAGTATGAGAGCAGATAGAACTTATTAATCAGAACTACTGCTAACTCTAATTACAGGCTTCCCCCAAGTTACAAAATAAATGGATGGCTTGGCAATAAAGCAATGTTTTATATATTACATCCTCTATTTCCACTGAATCCTCTTATAAATGAAAGTGAATTTTGATAGGAAAAAGGTCTAATCCCACTAATAGGGACTGTGAGATATCTCCATATACAATCTCCTACCTCTAACCTTGTAATCTTTAGTTCTGGCTAAAGTGCCCATTCAGGTCAGCAATAGTGATGCCTGACTCTACTTTAGTCATTAGATGTGACATCCTAAGTGAATCCATCTTCTCGCCAAAAGAAGATGCTGAACTAGACTAGTTTAAGGAAGCTATTGGTGAACCTGGATCCCTATGAATACCTTATGAAAGCTATGGACCCTCTCCCCAGAAAAATACATGCACACACATGCAGAAGCAGGAATACACATACAATGGCAGGAATAAATCAATAGAAGCTTATTAAAGACTAGAACGCGTGGGTGGCTCAGCCAGTTGAGTGTCTGACTCTTGATTTCGGCTCATGTCATGATTCCAGGATCTTGGGATTAAATTTCATGTTGGGCTCCACGCTGATCATGAAACCTGCCTGAGGTTCTCTCTCTCTTTCTCTGTTTGTCTGCTGCTGCTCCCATGCTCACCTGCACTCACACTCGCTTGGACGGAATGGAATGGAATGGAATGGAATGGAATAGAATGGAATGGAATAGAATAGAATAAAATAGAATAGAATAGAATCCTGGTCTAAAACCCCTGACCCAGACAATCTAAGGTAATTTGGGCTTTAAAAGTTATGATTTTGGTTTCTTGAGCAGCTTCCACACTGGAGATAGTAGACTATAGACATTAGATTTAGGCACATTAAATACATCAAATACCAACTTATACCATGATGAAATAAGGAGCAGCTAATATGTGAACAGGTTGGAACTTCAAACTATGCACTCTAGGTGCAGGCAGTCTCCATTCAATAAAGATGGATTTCAGTAAAGGAGGGATTTCACAGAGCCTTAAGATGTGGTAGCACGGCATTACCCCGCACTAATTTTCAACTCCATATAATGTCTGCTCTGGTCTATGCTGTGCAGTTCATGCTACCACCATTTTGAAACTTAAAACCAAAACATTTAACATTACATCTAAAAATAATTACTCTTTCAGCTTTTAAAATTTTCATATAATAGGGGCTCCTGGGTGGCTCAGTCAGTTAAGTGTCTGACTCTTGGTTTCGGCCCCGGTCATGATGTCATGGCTCATGGGTTCTAGCCTTGGTATCAGACTCTGCTGACAGCACAGAGCCTGGTTGGGATTATCTCTCCCTCTCTCTCTGCCCCTCCCCTGCTTTCTCTCTCTCTCATTCTCTCTTTCTTTCTCTCTCAAAATAAAAAACAAACATTAAAAAATTTCTAATTAAAGTTTTCATGTAATTACTTTAAAATTCTCATGCTTGGGGCGCCTGGGTGGCTTAGTCGGTCGAGGGTCCGACTTTCGCTTAGGTCATGATCTCGCGGTTCGTGGGTTCGAGCCCCGCGTCGGGCTCTGTGCTGACTGCCAGCTCAGAGCCTGGAGCCTGTTTCGGAGTCTGTGACTCCCTCTCTCTCTGACCCTCCCCTGCTCACGCTGTCTCTCTCTCTCTCTCTCTCTCTCCCTCTCCTAGAAATAAATAAAACATTTTTAAAAAATTCTCATGCTTATCTCTGATGTTCCCTTGATCCTTGATACTATAATCCTTACCTTCAATTTACCCTTAGGTAAAGGGTTCCACCACCTACCCATCATAGATGAAGATAAGGGGAGAGAAAGATAACGTAAGGGTCAGAATAAAGATGAGGCTCAGGGGAAAGGAGGGTTGGGGAAAGCTTGGTGTTTATAGCTAAGAACTTTTTATATCAAGGTCACTGAATCCACACACTTTTTCTTCACTCTCCTTACCAAAATTTGAATCTCAAGATGTGGTTTTTAGTCTCTATATAGTCCGTATATGTAGGAAGAGAACTTTACCAAAAAAAAAAAAAAAAAAAAAAGCCCTGAGGAAATCAATCCAGAATTACTCTGGGAAATTTAATATGCCTAGTAATGACATCAAAAAAGATTAAGTGGTAAATACTGAGTCAACTTGTATCTGCCCAACACTAGAGTACTGAAATTAGTTCCAGTATTGATGCCACCAACCAA